TGCGTCAAATGAAAAGACATAAAAGAACTGTAAGAAAGAAGTGAACTATGAAGACTGAGAAAATTAGTTTGAGACTGCAGTACGGAGACTTGGTAGCAAATAACATTATTTAATGTTTGCTGAGGGAGTTCTCCACTGTTTGATAATGTAGGCTTGAGACTCCCTCACATACAATAGAATCCCGAGGTTGAGGCAAGCACTTCAATTCTGTGAGAAGTTTCAGTACTAGTTTTAATGCAGCCTTGAGCTCACTCAATAAATAACGTTTAAATGTATTTTTCATTGGTTTGGTTATTTTTGGCAAAATATAAATTTTCCGATTCAGATATTTGTAGAAACAAACACGTAGTTGAATATAGTAGACAACTACACAAGCAGACTCACAGGCATGTCTATTTTATATAGCAGAATCTCTTTCTATCCATCAGTTTTATTTTCTTATTAACCAATCCATTCTACCACTAGTCCCAGTTAGAAATTAAAAAATAGATTTTTTTTAGATTAAGTTTACAACTGAGCTCAATAATTATTAGAAAATAGACTGGGTCCTCTACTCAGGGAAGGGTAAGCAACCAGAAGTTGACCTTTATAAAGCGTTGACATTGCCAGGATTATGTAATATCACGATATTTGAGAAGATGGGAGGAACTAGGATTGGCAGATATAACAGAGGCCTCCTATAATTTTCTGTGGTTCTATAATCACACTGCTAATCATTATCCATGGAGATAGTTCCATGCAGAAATTAATACATGTGGATATCAGGTAAGGACTAAATGGGATTCGCTGTGATTCCTCCACAGTCAAATAACCTGTTGGTGCTTACTATCCAGGTTCCCGCATGAATAACTGTCACTTAACCAAGATACAACATAACTGCATTCATGGAACCAAACACCAGCATGCTGTCATTTTTAGGAGAATGAGGGAAGAAAAGAAACATACTGTACAATGCAACTGAATAGCAAAGTGAGTCAGAATATTGTCCATCATCTCAAGAATCTTGATTCCAATCTGATCCAAGCTGCATGGAAATCACTATGAGAAGGCTGTATGCTAAGTAACAATGTATAAAATGAGCAATCGATGCTTTCCGACCTACTATCCCCCTATCTACCTGCCCGTACCCTCCGTTCCTCTGGCTCCGGTCTGCTCCACGATCCCGCCCCAACCGCCCTACCATCGGTGGCCGGGCCTTCAGTCTCTCAGCCCCGAGGCTCTGGAACTCCATCCCCCAGTGCCTTCGCCGCTTCCTCCCTTTCCTCCTTCAAGGCCGGTCTCAAGAACTTTCTCTTTGACCGTGCCTTCAGCTCCCCTCTCGACTCTCTACCCCCTCCTCGCTTCCTCCCTTCCCTCCCCTCACCCTGACCATTTCCCCCCTGCTCGGGTCCTGACCCAACTGTCCAGCGCCTTTGGACGTCCTCCCGACGTGAAAGGCGCTCTATAAATGGAATCTTGTTGTTGTTGTTGTTGTAGACATCTCACCCTTTCACGAAAACAACATTTCAAAGATATATTGTAAAAGTAAATGGAGGAAAGAAAATGCAATTAAAAAAAGTAATGATGGAAAATATCATTAAAAGGGAAGAGAAAAATTTCAGTTACTTAACTCGGAGTTATGACAAATCTTTAAACGGGAACAAGAGGGAAAATAAAAGCAATTACCAAGGTGTGTAAATGTGTACAAATGACCCCCAAAAACCAACAATACTACTTTAGCATTGGACGTTTGTGGCCAATAAGCTAATGAAAGAAGCCAAGTTTCAGAGATCTGCAACAAAAGATTTGAAATACAGTATAATCACAGCAGGACACAAGTAATACCAAAATAGGACATTGGAGACATGGTCAGATTGCTGAGAATACAAAACAAGCTTCACACATGGACAAGTCGACACAATTTTAAATTTTAGATTTGACCATTTTTCAGATGCTGGTGTCACCCTGTGTAGGGACTTCTGTCACCTTGCAGTAAATTATAACACATTAAGAGTTCTCTGGGAATACTTACTGGCTGTATCAGAATCACACATTCTGCTGACTACAATGAACTGTTATTCTATAATAGAGATAATGATGGCACAGAAAAAGGTACAGCAAGGGGCTGGTAAAACCTCATATAGTAGATTGCAAAAATCTGGTACTGTATCGCTTTCACATACAAAAGCACGCACACATGGCTTAATGATAAACAGTACTACAGAGGTAAATACTGTAAACGTAAACTGCTTGCCTTCTTTGATGTCCCTAAGCATTTCATTTTTAAACAAGCTACTAACATTGGATAATAGTCGATAGTCAGAGGACACCTCCAGAAAACCCTGCTGACTAACGTTTCATTGAAGTGAAACAGACTAATGTCAGGTAGGAGACCATGGTGGACTGTACTCACCAGCCCTAGATTAGTTTGTTTACAACATTCAGTGGTGCATAGTGAATGTGTTCCTTGAGGATCCTCCTGTCAGTAGAGCACACCCGCTTCAATGACATGTCAGCCAGCAGGGCTCTGCAAAAGAGCCCTTAAACTATAGATTACTCACTGGTAGGACTCTTTATGGACTGCTCTGGACAAATAAGGACAAGGAGCGTAATTCTCCACATTATTACCTCCCGTTTAAACAACTGCATGTTTAAATTTGGATTTGTCAGGATAATTGCAAACAATGTGAGTGATGCTCTGCCCTAACAAGACCTTTTTTGTTGATAAATCATTATCGATTTGCATGAATGTTTATTAACACATCTAAAATACAGTACAAGCAAGCAGTTACCAAGACCACATTATGTTTTAACATGTTATGTTTATATTTATCCATGTTTCGGTACTAAATGGATTTATGCAAATGAAAATCTAACGTCATTGTTATAAGTATTGTAGATACGTATAATATCCATGAGATACTATAGATATTGTTCTATGGATAGTTCAGCAGATTATTTGATAACCAATATTGTGCATCACTCATCATCGTTAAAGGCCATCTTTTGACCACACTTTGCTGTTGTTGTCATAGTCTTAATTACATTATCTGCATTATTATCATAAGGTGGAAAATGTGAATGAATGGAGTGAGGCAGAAATGCAAACTTACTAATACCAAATTCTCAAACTCGACTCCCAGCTTTGGTTGTGAATGCTGTAAAGCAGTCAGAAAGAGTCCATTTTTGATCCTATATAGATAATCTGAACTACAATTCACAACACAATAGATCCAATTATAGTATCTAAGAGTTCCTTATATAAATCTAACAACCTTCTTGGTGAGTTCTGTCCAGCTGTTGTTTACCTTCCATGTAATGAAATGTTAGTGTCTATCGTAAACTTGCCCATTACATACCTAGATATTCACCCTCTTGTCCTGCTATCATGGCATATCTGAAAGCATTGGTTTCTTTCCCGTTAATATCTTACATAAAAGTCTATTCGAAGAAATCCCATTTTAGTTTATCTAGTGAGTCCTTACAGGTCACTGCTTGGGGAATCAGCTTGGTGCTTTCCCAATAACTCCCTTAAGAGCCTGGGTAGTCCACTTATACCATGACGACAGAAATGCACAGAATACTCCAGGTTCTGCTTGTTCATAACACTGTACAGCTTCAGTATGGACTTTGGGGGTCTGAACTCTGCTGATTTGGCAATGCAGCCCAGCATCCAGTTTGCTCTGAGGTCTCTTTCAGCTTCCCTCCTCCGAAAGTTCAATTCTATCCCTGGAGTACATGTGCCTCCTATTTTTATTCAATAGCATATCCAGACGAGCTCTCTTTGCAGATTCCACTCCTAGCTTAATCATCTGCAAATTGAACGACCATGAACTGAGTCTACAAATCCAGGTCAGTTATATATACTAGGAACAGTTAGATCAGTATCCTCCTAGGTTGGGATTTTCAACAATCTGCTCTCAGAGATACGGAAAACAGGCCGTTCCAGGTTACTCAGGAACATTTCAATTTTATTCAAGAGAAACCAATACTCCCCAAAGACGAAATTCAACTGCCACAGCACTGATCATCTTCAGCTCATTCTTACTTAAATCTTGCAATGTTTCACTCAATTTCACTGTGTAATAATATTTGTTTATTTTAAAAGAAAACAATAACACCCAGCTTTGTGCAAATGAATGGATGAGGGAAAGAGAATGTGATGAAAACAATAATAGGGACACATACTTGTTTAACAACACTGGGACTTCCCCAGAGCCATTATCTGGAACATAGCAGAATGAGGGAATTCTGCTGTCTCTGCTCATCCAATAAACATGACTCAGATTTCCCAGGCAATGCATGGTAAAGGTGATACCACCAGCGACCACCTGAACCACTCCACCTAATCCAACATAGTGCGAAAGAGGGACAAATGGCTCGAACAAGCAATTCCCTTATCCTTTGAATTATTTTAATTTTACATAAATTTCAGGAGAAACAGTTTTTTTAAAAAAAGTCGATTAGCTCATTCAAGGACTTATCCCCTTGGAAAATTCTGTGCCTTATCCCCTATTCATGGGTGTAAATCCATTGGCAGTTCCAAGCAACATTAATCTTTGAATCTAAGTGGATTTCATATTTTCAAATGGCAAATTCCTAGAGAGATTCTGCAGCAAGTGGTGGAAGAGCAGGGTTTTTGCTGGTCTGGGTGGAGGGTGGGTGGGTGTCTGAGGGGAGAGTGGGTGGGGTGGGTGGTGTCTGGAAGGGGTGTGTGTGTGTGGGAGAGGTGGGCAGCAGGAATGTTATTAAGGCTGACTAGCTGCAGGGATTGCCCTGCTCTCATGCTGTAACGCTCAGTCAGTGTAGGGCAGGGCAGCAGCACATTCAAACCACTGCTCCAGAACCTGCCATCTGAGTCAAGTCAGCAGCAAACTTTACTGTGTCAAACCTCAACCAGAACCAAGTATATTTGGGAGGAGAGAGAGAGAAAAAAAAAAGCAACTGATTGCATTGTCTCCCAAAGAGAGAGAGAAAGAGAGAGACAGAGAGAGAAAGAGAAAGAGAAACTCCCAACTTACTTCTTTCACTTTGCCAGAAGGTCAGATGAGCACTTCCGCCTCACAGCGACCCCCTGACTGCAATACTCTGTTCAGGAGCAAAGTTTGACTTGAGTTTCCTGAAGTGGCCATTTCTCATTTTTTTAAAAAAAATTTTGGAGGAAAAAAAACAAGTTTTTAAATTAAGAAGAAGCAAAATGCTGCCTTTGCATTTTTTCAGATTTCACTTCAACTCATTGATTTCAATACATAATCTTTAAATGCTTCACTGAGTACAGGAACCCAGGTTTTTTTTCTCTTGTAAAATCTTACTATTGACCCCAATTACGATCGGTCTGGGCTTTCAACAAATTCTTTTCACTCTACTCCTAATAAACTTGCAAACAAAACCCTAATAAGTAGGATGAGGTGGTCCTAAATGGACAAGCAGCAGGAAACTCAATGGCAAACTGTGAGGTTTACAACAACAACTTAATAATAATAATAATCCTTGCATTTGATATGGTGCTTTTCATGTCTTTGAGACGTCTCAATGCACTTCACTGAAATATACTGTAAAGTGAATTGACTGTATATTTGTGGGATAAAACGCAGCAGCTAATTGCAAACGGCAGTGTCCCATAAACAGTTGTGGATCGAAGTGACCAATTTTATTATTTTTTTCTTGAGGGATTATGCTCACGTGTGTGGAGTAAGGAAACTTGCCCAAGCTTTCGCCCTGCCGGGAATCAAACCCAGGACTCTTGCTGGCGAGGCGAGTGATCTAACCACTGAGCTACAGGATTACTCCTATAAAGTTGGATTTATATAGCACCCTTCATGGTGTCTCGGAGGGCTTAAAGTGGTTTAAGTGGTTAAACTCCAGCAGTACCCCAACACACACTCTAGGAACCCCAAGCCTAGGCTCTCACCAACCTGTACCTATTTCGGTCTGAAATTAGGTAAGCAAGGTGTGTCCCTCCAAGGTGAGAGTGTGAGTCCCATTCCAGAACAGAGAAATTTGCATGTGTAGGTGGCAGACATCTGTGGAACTCTTAAGCTTGATGATGGGTTTCTGCCTATGTCAGACACCAGTTGAGCAAAAAATACTATCGACATAATAGGGAATGTCGTCAAACTTGTCCTCAGACTAAGAATAACAATAGAGCAGCATCCAAAAGTACATGTGCTGGTAGGAACTCATGAACATTTCAACTCCTAATCTAATTCTGGAAGTTCAAGTTTCAGTAAAATGTTGACATCCTATCGTAGCACTATCACTGTCTTAGTGCGGAAAGCAAGAGTGCTGAGAGGGGTCAGGAAAACTGCCATAGTCATTAGGGGATCATGGTTGGTCACACGTTTCGACCATTCCTATTCCCACCTATTGTAAAGTAATTCCTAACTAGTTAGAGGCACCTGTGGGAATCATGGGAAGCTATTCTGCTCATCCTTTCCCACTTCCTGTTGAGGTCATAGGGTACTTCATCACAATGTCCAATTTTATTCTTGTTCACACCCTACAGTCTCTCTGGATTCCCAGCTCAACCGAGAGCCAAAGCTATGACAGGTTGTAATTTGAAAGGCAGTAGAGAGAAGCAGGAGTTCAAATAAAACAGTACCTTGTATAGCTTGTTTGAGGCCCAAGGAACACTGACGTCCTTTCAATAGTGTTCATTACAGTGACTTAGAACACATATCGGAATGAGATTTTTGACTTTGGGGTTCATTCTAGAACTGTTTTTACATGAATGGTGCAGAGGTGAAGGACTTCGCTGATTTATGATGTGATAAACTGCATCTTTCTTTCTCTCCTAGCTGAAACTGTATTAAAAATATACTAAATTAGAATGCAATCTCGTGACTTTAACATTGATGCAATTCAGTGACGAAATTAGATAGTATTAAACAACATGCCCTAAAAGAAGAAATTCTGGAGTGCTGCAGTGTACCATGCATCAAACAAAGAGGTAGTCATGGATAATAGAAGGGATCATGCAAAAGTCATTGAAATCATGCATAAGCTATTTTACAGGTGAAGAGATATTGTTATTTTGTCTTGTAATACAAAATAATGTCCAGTAATTATAAATAAATCTTTGGTCAATTATTGAAATATCCCAGAGTTTCAAGGTTTGAAAGGACTTGGTATTTGTGGTGTCATAAAATAGCCACTTCAGAGATGTCAATGACTGCATTGTCAGTGGATTCAATGTAAGTCTGAGTGGTTACATTTCCTTTAACACGGCAGCTGCCGCAGTCTGCCCAGGATAACAACCCTTAGCAATAAAGCACTCCTTCCGTAACTGCGAAGTAGGTACCTCGAGATGTTTTGGAGCTTTAAGCTTGTGCATCTATGCATTGTTAAAGTGTGTCTGTGTAGTTTCAATGTGTGTTTATGTATTGTTAATGTTATTTTTTCAATAGGTGCATTGACTCCCACAGGTTAAAGACCTTTGGCATATCCATCATTTAATAATATGCTAGTTCCCATTCATTTTAATTACATTAGTAAACGTTAAGAGAGTGTTATTGAACATGAGTAAAGTTGCAGAGACAAATCACAATAATATTTAGTCACATGTGTACTTTTTGTGATATTACAATGATTGGTTTATAAGATAATAATAATAATAATCCTTACATTTGATATAGTGCCTTATCATGTCTTCGAGATGTCTCAAAGTGCTTCACAGAATGTACTGTAAAATTAATTGACTGTATATTTTGTGGGCGAAATATACAGAAAGATGCAATGAATCAGGAATTTTTTAAAAAATAAAACACAATACATTTGTAAGATTAAAATATAAAACATTATTCACATTCTGTGCTCTGGGGAAGTGACAGAAAAAAGGTACTTTAGATAAAAGTCGTTATAGCTAGGGAAAGGATCAAGAATGCTTTTACTGTACATAATAAGTCCCTGAGGGCAACTTAAAAATATATTTTTCAGACAACAGTGGGGGTTAAAAAGCCATTTGGACCTGTTGCTTTGGACCCAGCATCTCTGAAGAACTGATACGACCTGCATCCCTAACCTTACTTCACCACCGCTGAAAAACTAATCATTGGGAAAGAGCAGCCTGGAGAAGAGTGATTGGCCAAATAACTGGAAAGGTGGCCTCTATTTTATGCAATATCTCATGGGAGAAGCCCAGGTATAATTGTAGATACAATTTCAGACCTGGCCTCTTCGTTCTGCTTCAGCTACGGATAGGGACAACATTTTGTTGCTTCTGCTTTTGACAGTCTAGATAAGGCCTCGATGCTGTACACCACTGCCAATATTATTGGCTATACTCCTGGCCTCTTATGTAGCTTCTCTAACCAGGCAGCATGCAATATTTATGTAGGAGGTAGCTCACATGAAATGGTAGTATCCATTTGATTCAATTTATGTTCAATAACAGGATGTGGACTGAAGCCTGCTGAAATAAATCTAAATTATTGTGATTACTTGCAAAATTGTGTATCAGATTTATCTGATAAACTGTTTTTTGTTTGTGTTTCAATTTGTACCTTTGTTTGTATCCAACTGTGTCCAGGATGCCATTGCAAACTTGGTATCACAAGTGGGATTGTAGTTTGTCCCGAACTAGACACATTAACAGTGAATATCCCTACATGACTTTTTTTTTGTATATAATTTCAGTGCTGTGAAAGGGATGGCTTTTCCACTATTGATCAGCATCGATCATTTTGAGGTCAGGTTTTTGTATTAGCCACACGCAAGTCAAAGTTTTCTTTCATAATTCTCATCGATTCCTCAGATGAGATTGCAGACTGTGGAGTGGAATCACTAGAGGGTATAAATTATTATTTTTTGAGGATTTGTACAGCGAAGTTCACAGGAGTTATTTATTCATCTTATTTTATTCCCCACCTGTGATATACATGACAGATACCAATACTCTGCTTTTATGTAGCCAATGTGTATGCAACAAATGTTAAAATTAATATTTTAATTAAATTATATCAGTTATTTAACACGTGATAAATCAATTAATTTGCTAGGTAAGAATTTATATTGCTTCTAATAATGAATATTAATCGTAGGAATAATGAATACCTTTACAGCGTAGCCTGTTGGATAACATAGCATTTATTTGTGAACAAATGATTACATGCACCCGTTCATCAATGACATACTTTGTCTGGTAAATGACACAGCCATAGATGATACACTTCTAAATAAAAAACAATTACATTCATGTTTGAAGCCTGCTTTTTTTTTCTCTATTGTTAGACATAACGATAAATTAGGAGATTAATCAACTTTTCACATTGCTAACCTTTCAGGTGTGCTGATTCCTGACATTCTATCAGGAAACCTTCACAAGCCACTGGTGGAGAGGTTTTCAGCTCACCCAACCTAATCTATTTTTCTTATGGCTGAATGCCTGAGAAGATCTGTCCTGGTCTAACTTGGGTCATCTATTGTTCAGCATTTCTAAATGTTGCTGCCCTGTACCTTGATTGTGTGATAGATTGCCCTGCTACTTTTTCATTGAAAAAGTAAGATTTTTCCAGTAACCTTTTTTAAATCGAAAAGACACACCTTGGAAGAAATCACAGATGTCATATCATCTAGTCCTAATGTAGCATTCAAAAAGGAAAAAGAGTGTTGAAATAAACTGTTATGGTTAGGAATGAATTCTGAGGTGTCATGCTTCATGCTGAAATGAATGCCGTTACCTTTTGGGTGCAGAAACACATTATCAGTTCAGGTGTGCAGGTTCTAAACAATCTGTTGTGTTTGCACACTAACCATTGGAGGGTTCCTTTAAATAAAGTTCTTCCTCTTGATATTGGATTAAATATAAGACTATTTATTTAATGCAATTTTCTCCCCCGCAAAAAGTAATTGTGGAAGTATTTACGGGCCAAGAAATGTAATGCAATCTATGAAAGCCACATACAAAATCTTTAGCTGAGCTATAAGTTGCTCAGCCTTCCTGTGCCTTGACATTTGTTTTTCATCATGTCGCAAAAGGTCACCCAACAGAGGCTTGCGGGCTTGCCTGCTTTTTATATTTAATTTCCACATTACTTTTGA